CATTGCAAAAAGAATGAAAATACATAAACACACGAACGAAGAACCTGAAAATCAAAATGCGGCTTGAAACATAAACATATTTGGCTTGCTCCTTTCTCTCTGGGCAATACACACAGACTTTTTACCGAATATAGTTGCTCTAATGTACTGAAAAACTCACAACCATGCTGAGACAAAGGAAGCTCAGTCTTCAGAGGCTTTAACCAAGACAAACACTAAACATGTCCATCCGCTTCCTTTGCACGGTAACCTGGAATTCATATTCCTGAGATTTCAGCAGCAGCTTTTCCACGGACGGCAGCATACGCACCCCACGAGCGCACGAGTCCAGCTAACAAGAACTGGGCTCGCAGCATCCCAACACCACACAACCATGCCAACCGGTGAGGTGTTCTCACGAGCCTGGCTCATGTCCCCACAGAACCCAGAAAACAGCAGAGAGCAGCTAAACAAGAAAAGGTGGAGCCTCGTCAAGTGACTGATGTGTCAGGAGCAACAGCTCTGCCACGAGGGATACCACACTGCCAGGCTTGATGCTTCCCTTCACCCCACGCTGCTCATGAGAGCAACTTGTATTCAATTCCCAACACTCCTCTCTCCCACTGCTTTATCTGGGAGAGGTAGGACAGGAAGACATGGTTAAAAGAAATCCTTGTGCATCTCTAGGCTTTCCCCCATCTAACCTGCACCTTGGTGATGGTTCAGGTCTTTAGATAAAACAGGTCATGGCTCTCTTGGCCAAAAAGCAGACTATTAACTGGTACGCTATTTTTTGAAAAAGAAGGTAAATTAAATAAATAAATCTAGTCTCTAAAGAGCTATCAATACTATTAGCCACAGCGGAGAAACTGCTGTTAATTCACTATTGGCACCCAAAGGGAGCAGTCTGTGCCTTGAACTAGGAAAAAAAAAAACGAGAAAAACTAAACTAACTAGGAGAAAAAAAAAAAAGTGTGCTATGAACAATTACCTGAAGCTTAAATCTTTGTGCTCATTAAAACCCAGCAGGAGTGCATATATGTTTTTATTTTCTGTAATTTATGGTTTTTTTACAATAAACTTCTAGCATTTTTAAAAGAAACGAATACTGTCCACTGACACACTGGGAAGATTTAACCAGGACATACCTTCCTATCTTTTAAAATTGATAACCTGTGAGAATACCAGACTTATTTTGGAAAAAGAAAATATTCAAATGCACCAAAGGTCCCCATAGCTTAATTAGCTTTACTGCTTTCCATGCAAACAGAATAAGCGAACATTTAGAGCGAACAATTAGTGCCTCTGGGTTAGGAGAGGAAGATGAAAAGCAAGAAAATAACCAGAGAACTCACGTTTAATGAACTATGGTTTCTGCCAAAAGGTCACCTGGTGTACCTTGCATACTCTTGGCCTTTCCACTTTCCTTCTTCTCAGTTTTCCCTCCTTCCCTCTCTCTTCAGGCTCAATTCCAGACGTTTTAAGGCTCCTCTGCCCTACCCATATCAGTAGAAAAGAAAGGCCATGCAGTCACCTGCACTGATTTGGGAAATTCCCAACCTATACGGTACAAACCCAACTTTGCACTATCACTGAAGATCCAGTGGACACAGTGTATGAAGGACCAGTAACTGGAGTCTGGCCAGAGCGATTTTGTATTCAATTATATTAAAACAGCTGTAGTTATTTTACTGCAAGTTGAGGAAAAGACAAATTTTCTCCTACCTGGCTTAGGACAACAAGACACAAGCTTAACTCAATCCTTTGTTGTTTTCCGTATTTGCTCTCTGGACAGGACACCAGGCTCTCCATTAATTTTGTCACGGAGTTACCCTATAGATGGACCTCCCAGTACTTACATGCCAGGTTAGCAGATAGTATTTAAGAGCTCATAAACTCCAATTTGGAACCACGTAACAACTGTACTCATTTTAAAACATAGCATTAAGTAGATTAAATACAGCAAGTGAAGGCCCTAGAATAATCTTACCATTGAAGACCAAGTAAGTCCTTTTCATTCCCATCATGACAGCCGAATTTATAAAGCCAACATTTAATTGGACATTAGCAAACCAACTGCTGCCACTGGAAAATGTTCATTCCTGGGCCCAAATTCCCACAAACACTCTTAAGAATAATTCTGCAAGCCCCATGTTCTGAATGGCACTCAAAGATGTTCACTCTCTGCACGCACAAGCCTGTGTTACACGCACCATCTAGTGGCAAGCTGCAAATGTGATGGTGGGAACTAAAATCTCACCTGCGAGCCAGAATCGAAGAGAAATCATTGCTGAAGTCCATAATGGACTCATCACTCTGCTGGGGACTCACAACTGCTTGAAGACAGCAAATTTTAAAACCACAAACTAGCTGAACACCCTGGGGCGTGTGATATTCATGGCAAAGCTGAACAAGATGCTTTATAGCAAAGCAAAGCGATGCTGACACGCTGAACGCGTGTTCTGAAGAGATGCGGGGGTGCTAGTGATAGATACGTCGTGTGCTTCAGTGTTTCACACAGCAAGTGGGCTCAGATGCTTTATGTTTTCTGCTGCTAGTGATGGGAACATCATATAAAACATGAGAGTCACCACTGTTACACATACACTTCTGATACAGAAGAAAATGCCCCAGAAAAAATGCGATATTGAAATAAACTAAGGACAAGAGTTAACTGAATGGCATTGCTGAAAAAAAAAAAAAAAGATGCAAGAAATCTTCACTTTGTTCCCCTTCCATGGTAAATTAATAGAATCTTTGAATCCCTTCCCGCTGCCAGGCCCCAAGCCTGCTTTGGGCTTTCTGGGGTGTGGAAGGAAGAGGAAGGACCCAGACAAAACCTGTGGACCCTACCCTGGACAACTGACCTTACTGGCTGCCTTGGGAAGGTCAGAAGACGCCCAGATAGGAAGACAAGGGGTTGAAATGGGAGTGGGTTTGGACACAGGTTTTCCACAAACTCTGGAGCCATTACTAATCAGATCTCCCATTTGCGATCCAAACCCAACTGATTCAAGCAGCTTTCTGGCCTGCAGATCTAGAAAGTAACAAAAGTACAGGAAAGTTTTCTTGGGATTATCAAGTTTCTCACACGCTTCCATTTTACCCTTAACACACTTTGCTCACTCGGGCTGTACGTGCACCTCCTCAGGAAAAGCTTTAGGAATTGAGTTAAAATATGAATTAGACTTCAAGAAGGTTTGAAACAGATATTGGATTTATTGGTCAGCTATGAGTAGGAAAATACATTGGTAAAGAAAAAGAAGACCCTGTATATAAATATAATACTAACTAGTTAAAATTTGACCAAGAAGAAAGTTCCACTGAAGAGAACAGTAAAAGCCCTTGTTTACCATCAGACCATATTCAGTTTCCCATTTATCTTATTGAAGAGCTGCCTAGAGACAAATGCAACATTCTTTGAGCTTAGTGCAGATAATGTGCTGGTTTTTGTTACATGAATGGTAAACAAGAGTTAGTCCAGTGCATTACACATTATACAGAAGTACTGTGAATAAAGACTAAGATACTCTAATTTAGACACTACTTAAACATACCAAGACACTTAAGTGTTACAAATTTATGCAACCAAAAGAAAAGAATAGCAGTTAACATACTAAAAAAAATACTGTGTCCAGCTGGATGAAATAGGCTTGCTACTTAAGCGGTTAACTGAATTTTTTAAAGTTTTACAGTGTAACTAGGTTGGGGTTTTTTTCCCCAATGGTGTTGTAATTATTTTGTCTTTCATACAGGTTTTGTGTGGTTGAAAAAGCAACCCATATGCTATTTTCTAAGTCTGCTCTCAAAAAAAAAAACAACTTGAGAGATTTGCTAAAGTTACATCAGATGCATACACACAATGCTCTTAAAATCAGTTTTGTCAACCCCTAGCCAAATTCACCTTTTTCCTTTTTCTTTTTTTTTTTTTTAAAGTTGATAAAAGGACAAAATAATTACAACACGCACCAACTCATATGCTCTTTTCCCCCCCTACTTGTGTTACGTTAAAAGCAGTAACTTGTGGTATTAGTCGTGTACTCTAATCAACTCTTTTAATTAATGGTATATTTCAATTTACACTTTGACACCCAGAATTCTTGGTAAATGTAAATAAAACTAGACAAGATATGGCTGACTGTACTTTAAGTGGAAAAAAGCCTGGTCTAACCTAAATAAAATCCTTTTAACCCCAAGGATGTTCTGTGACTTTTGCTGTATGTGCTTTTACAACAAGAACACTGAAGGTACATTATGGCAACACCCAAAACCACCTTGAATAAAAATGTTGCAAATAACCATTTTATGTTAAAAACTATGAAGCAAACATTTTGATTTTGTGAAGACACGGTTTATTGCCTTATTCTATGTTATCGCTGGAAATTGAGACTTTTGAGTTAGATTTGTTTGACATAGGAATATATTTTCTTTGAAAGATTGTTTGACAAAGTTTCTCTCAGCTCTGTTTTGGTGCCATCTGGCCTTTCCCTATATTCAAAATATTTCTCCTTCCTTCAGCCCCCGAGTCAGCTGCAGTCCAGTTAAAACCCAGTGAATTCAAGAGTGTCTCCAACATATTCAGTGGGTTTTCGATTGGGACTCGATGGACTGGTATAAAAGCTGGAGGAAATGGTTATTTAAATGGACCCTTAGACTGTAAGGTGACTAAGTAGGAACAGCTGTGTCTCCAAAAGCACAAGGGGCCATATTTTAACATGCTGTCATAAATTCAAATATTTTTTAAGACTAAGCAATAGAGGAGAACACATATTGGATAAAGCTCAAACCTTTAGAATCTAACAAGTGCACTCAAGCTCCAGCATCTATTAAAGTAAATTATCCCCCTCTAAGAAATACAAAATGAGTAAGTGCTTCCCTTCCCCTTCTGTAAAGCTTTCTGGACTCATTACACAATCCAGATAATCAGAAAAGAAAAATACTTTGCTCAGTTTGACAAGCTAAATGGGCTCATCATCACTGGAAATTGTCATGATGTATATTACCAAGACATCATTAAGGAAACATGAGTAAAACACCTTTTATTCACACTTTACAAAAAAACCCAAAAAAAACAAACAGAAAAAAAGTAACACTACGCATTAAGTCTACTACAGCAATACTACCAGCATTTCAATGTACTGATTATAAACTGGACATGTTTGGTGTTTTCACAACTAAAACCAAAACAAAATAACCCCAAGAGATCAGGTCCCAGACAAGGATTCAAGATCAAAATTTCTCCTATTGAAATTTTAAAATGTACATTTTACATATCCGAACTGTTTGTAATTTTTACTTTCAGCTTAAAACAGAACGGTTTGAGCACACTTATGTGCCGACTATTTTTCAATAAAATTTTGAATCATTATTACCAATCCACTCTCTTATATATAAAAATTCACAATATTTAGAAAGTTTTCTCTTAATGCTCAGTGTCCTTTTGCTTCCCTGCCCGCAGCTGAAACAAAAGCTGTTTAAGACCAAGCTCTCTATCTCCTTTTTTTATTTTTTATTTTTTTTACATTGATTATTCAAAGTTGTATTAGTTTAAGGAGATGATAAATTCTCCCTTTTAGGATACAAATAAACAAGTTAAATTTGTAAGCTATTATATACTTGGCTTCATGACAGAAATGGCACTGAGGGTACACTATAACTTTAGTCTTGCTTGACACTTTGAAATAAGACTTGGTCACTTTAAAAAAAATGATCTGAAGAATTGTCTTTGGGACCTGTATTGAAAATGCATTTATTTTACACTGCTTCATCAATAGAAAATATAGGGTTGTTTTTTTTTTCTTCAAGGAATTATACTTTCTGAAACTGAGGAACACACTTAAACGGAAGAGAATTCACATGATAGTAATCCTTAGTGGGAAAAACGGCACTGTGCAATGACACCGAAAGAAGCAGTGCATGGGTATTAGAAGCTAGAAACTGTACCCATAACCTGAACATGTTCGAAAGTGTGATATTCAATGCTTCACAAAGGAAAAAAGAGATGCCACAGCTTATACAAAAGTATCTTCATAAAATTTTCACAAGTGTTAACATTATTTAAAAAAAATAAAAGAGGATGCACAGGATCTCTCTGCATGCACAGGCAGTGCTAGTTGAGAACAAATTTAAGCAGGCACAGTGGAGATAGGACAAGTATTTAAAACAGTAATGAAGAAGCTGTACACAAGTATCCCTAAATTTTACTTCAAAAGTTAGAGATGAGAAAAATATCTGAGGGTATACACATCAGCAATAATCTTCAATCCATACAGGTCTACTTATATTCACTGCTTAGCTTATCTGTTCTGCGAGAACTCCATGCTTTTTTTTTTTCTTTTTAAGATCAGAAATAGACAGAATGTATTTAGTTATCTCTGTAAGATATTAAGATTTTACAGGTTTGGATTTTAAAAGCAACGTTCTCAATTGAACATAAAAAGTAGTACAAAAGGGCTAATGAAACCCTAACAGTGCAAATCATTAGCAGAGAAAACCTGTGACAACCTCTTTTACAAGCTGGCCTTTATAACACATGAAAACAGATAAAAATTTAGCCTTAGTTTACAATACAATCATTTTCCAAATCTGATTTTTCTTTTTTTAAAGTACAAAATCTCATAAATCAGGTTTTCTGTTGTTCATATACAATCAATAAAGGCTAAATTCAAATTCTATATTTTACAAACAAGTCTGAAAAAGGAGGGAGTGAAGTACGGAAGAATGTTCTGTGGATGTTCCTACTGGCCTCAAAAAAGTAGTGCTACAGATAACTGTGCAAAGAGAATATACTGTATAACAATTCCCTATTTCAAGGCATGAAAATGTCACGTTGGATAAAAGAAACAGGAAGGTTAATTGTAACGTATTAAAGAAAGGTGCAAACGCACCGATCGCTGTCAAACAGTATACAAAGTATATTGGGCTCAGAATTGTGTCTGTTGATAGCACCTGGCTTTTACTATGTCTTTAGCAAATAATTAGATTTAAGATTAAGATTACTAAGAAAAAAAATCCCTGTTGGCCATACCTCACTCCTCTATATTCAGATTTTACAATTGTACAAGTTAGATTGAGGTTGCCCTCTAAAATGTACTTGACTACCTCCTGCCAGGGAGATGGATTCCATTTACAGGAGGCAGGAAAGGCAGCAAAAGCTCCAGTTGTGCAAAAAGTGAGAAGTGGTCAGAAGGGATGAGTGGATGCGGACAACCACTTATATTGTTCTCTATTAACCAATGATGATCCAAAGGTCCAAGAATGCCAAGTATGTTTAGCTGAGGTTTTGAGTAGAAGATGTAGTCAATAATACCCTAAAAACAAGAGAAGAAATAAAAATCAATTATTAGCATTTATTCTTGACTTGAGTTATTCTTCCAAACAAAAGGCAAGCTCAGTATTACAAGCGAAATGCTCCCATTCTTTCTCTACAGCACATCAGCAGCTTCGGAGGCTTCTACCTCCTATATCCCACGGGTGGCTCAATGTAGATGTGGAAAACAAAAGAAAAGTCCACCCTGTAACACTTTTACGCTTCTGTGGTTGTAATTTCCAACCTCCTACACAGCTTCAAATCACATTTATCTGATCTTGAAGAGGAGACAGGCCAGCTTGGTTTCCCCTGGGCAACAAAGCACCGAGAGTTTTCCAGTAGCAACATGGATTATTTCTTTGCAGCTGACAGCTTAAGTGCCCCTGTTTTACTATTTCATTTAACTTCGAGTACCAAAATACAAAATCTTCCTATTTACAGGGAAGGTTAACAGCACCCCAACTCTTGCAAGTCTACTACAAGTTCGTTACAAGAAAAAGGAAAATTTAGTTCTAGGAGACTGAACTGTTGGGTTCTCTAGTTTGCCAAGTTTTAAATATAAACTTGGTGAATTTACTGTTAGTCACCCAAACAGCTTAACTTCTTTCTTAAACAATTTTGTACAGCAAATCACAATATCTAAACTTCAAAGTGGAAAACTTTTCTGAAATATCAGCCAAGCCCTTACCTTGAAGTCAAATGTGTAATTTGTATAAGGCATTAGACCATTCTCATAGGCACTCTTCAACTTGAAACCGTGTGTAATTCTTCCATTTGTTGTTCCATTTTTTCCATTACAGCTGAAGTTAGTAAGACTTTCATTGTATCTCAGTTCCTTAAAATCTTTGTGGTTTGTTTCCACTCCACCAGTGCTCAAGTACTCAACAACACCTATTAGGAGAGACATGTATACACAAGAGGGTATTAACAAGCATTCAGCATATAGGAGTGGGTAGGTACTTCCGAGTCATACATGCAACTTTATGCTTTATATAAGCAAAACCTTATCACGTGTACAACACAGTCAGCAAGAGTTCTTTTAAAATATTGCAAGGCAATGTTTATCACAAGCAAATGTCACCTAGAACAAAGAAACATGCTTTTGACTAGAAAAACAGAGAAGGTTAATAAGGAACAGACAGGCAGGGGGATGAAAAACGTGGAAGTAAAATTCTACAGAAGCTAGGTAGTCAGCTTGCTCCTCTCCTCATCTCTATGCTCAAGGCCTGGCTTCCAACGTTCTTCAGCTAAATGTTGTTGAAAAACCAACTTTTGTAACACTACTTCAAATAAAGAGGCTGCAAAGCCAAATTGACAAGATTTGTGTCTTCGAAAACTACGATCACGCCTCTTAATTTCAGAATAGCTGTGCTGTTCTGGAAAGTAAAAGAAGTAATTAGTTGTTCCGAGAACACCAGTCACGTGAACTGGCTATCGCAATAGTCACCAGCGACACTTGCCTTCCTGGGATCAAAAGGAATCAGATTTCCAGTACTGCTGAGCAGTAACTGCTCCCATCGGCCCTAAGAGACGTTAAGAGTTGCCAAGCAGAGGGCAGAAGGAAGGGGGACCAGGAACGGAGATTGCTATATTGAACAACTAGCAGTAAGAAGGAAGGATGGCTCATGAGTTCAGCCCTTCAGCTGGGAACACGAGAAAGCCAAGAAGGCAATCACTGAATCCATTCTTTTCTTGCGCTTTATAAAGTTGTTACCAAGTCAAAAAAAAAGTTGTATGTTAGTGAAAAGCTCTGAAAAATCCCCTTCTGGCAAGAGCTGTATTGAATTTTAGAAGTCCTAAAACATCTGAACTGCAGAAAATGTATGTCGGCAACTTTAGAGAGAAGAACCTATCTTCTCACACTTAAAATTAAGAAAACCCAATTATCAGCAACATACTCATGTTTCCAGTTATTTTTGGAAGATATTTTCGTCCTTTCCATTCCTGTATTTTAAGATAACAATGAAAATGCTTCTGAAAGACCAGATATCGCTATACTACTGCAGAGGCAGTAAGGTCACTCACAAAAACCCCCCAGTTCTATCTTTTCTCTCTCCCTTCTATTTTCTTATAACTTTAGAGCTTATGATATCAAACAACATATTCTCTAAGTTGAAAACCCCTTTAAAAAAAGTAAGACCTTAAAATTTAAATTGTTATACACTTGAAACAAGCTTAAAAAAGAAAAAAAAATAAAAATAAATAGAACTCTTACCAGAGTCTGGTAGAGAATTGAGATCTGCACACAGTACAAGCGGAATGGTTCCAAGTTCTCCCGAAACACCAGGTTTGAGACTACGAGAAGCTTTATCAATAATGTTCTTTACCTCGGACAGGAACATCATAGTCTGAACCAGCTTCACATCAGAATAATCTGGGTCCCAATGCATATGTGCATTAGCTACAAGAACTAGCTGCTTTTCCATCCCAAGATGTGGCTTTCCAGCTAAAAATTAAAATCAATTATTTACCTTACATGGTCAGCAAACACTATCATTGAATTTTAAACAAGAAGTTTGAGGGAAGGAAAAAATAAAATAAAATGCCAGTGTAACTTGAAGAGGGTTAATATCAATTAAGAGGGTCATACAACTCCTCTTACATCTACTAAGTGTTTTAGTCGATATAAAGCATTAGGAATAATTGTGTTTCACATTCAAGATTGTTAACAGACAGATAATCTTGTTACAGGCAACACTTAGTATCTAAGAATACCGTGAATTAATATAAATAACAGATAATCCTCATTACAGGCAAATAGCATCGTTCTAAAAAATTACAACAGTTTTCCTCAGGTTGTGACAGTAGTCAGGCAGTGCTCATATCTTATTAAGCAAGGAGCTCTGAATTTTAAGTTACCCACATTATAAGTTACCTCTCTTGCCAGAAGCGCTTCTTAAAAAGGCTTGTTTGTTAGAATCCAAATTAATAAAATATCATTTGGATAAATGTAACACAGGTTGAGCAGGTACCCACTGCAATACTTATAAAGGCAATTTACATTTCCTAAGTTAAGAATGACAGGGCAGAACAAACAGGTTGTATAACCATGACAGTGAAGAAAATAACAAGCTAAGATGATGCGGATATACATGACCCAGAAACACACAACCAGCACCAACTGATTCTTTGATACCTGTACATAACACATGTTAAGCAAAAAAAAAAAAAAAAAAACAAACACTCAAACTTTGTATTTTTTAAACAAAAAAGTGTAAGTGCCAAAAAAATCTTCAGCATTTAAGCAATACAACTTTTCCTCATATACTCTTCGGAAATAAATTTGTCTGAGAGTACAATGTGCAAAGTTATATTCATCTGTAGAACCTAGCTGGCTATTACAAAAGTCAATGTCTTCATTTACAAAATACAATCTATGGAAAATCTAAACTAAATAGGACTTACATGACATTTCTATCAATTCCTTTCGCAGTTCTAACAACACAGCCACTCCAATGTTATCTTTTGTCATAACTCTGTTCAGCATAGCTTCTGAACCTTCTGAGTTTGCCATAGCTAGTTGATTGAACTCAACAGTATGTTTTTGAACCAAAGTAAATCTGAAAGAGAAACATCACATACAGTTTTTTCAGGAGCCAGATACAAGGGAAATATTATAGATAATTCTCCTTTTAATTAAAGCTCAAACACATTTACGATGTGAAAATCTCAGCCAATCACACAATTGCATAAAATCCTAAACTGAAATAAAAGGATACAGTCTTCCTAACAATTTTTATGTATTTTATACTACCTTAGTTTGGAGTAAAAGATTTTATTTCCCAGGTGTGGGGATGAGATTGAGAAACTTCAGAATTTCTAATTTCTACACCAGTTTCTAGTTCAAAGATGCAAGTTTAACAGAGAAGGACAACATTTTTCTAAGACAAAAGGTATCAAATCTGGCACCGACTTGTGGACACAAAGGAATGGAAGCAGGAGGAGGAAGGGAGGTTACTACCCTCATACTCAAACAGCTGGACAAGTACAATATGACACAATCAGTAAGTGCTCCAGCTCTTAAACGATAGCTTTTTTTCCAGAAGCGAGCTGTGATATTAAGTGCCTTGCCTTTTGCTTTGTCAGAAGGCTAATGGATCAAAAAGTCAGTGTCATCTGAGGTCTTATTTCAGCTATTTCGGGGATTACCAATTGCTTTACTCAAAAAAGGCAAGAAAGTAAGACATTTGCTTCATTTTTCATTAACACCTAATGGTTGTGTCACACACGCTCAACAACTGAAGTACAATTTAGTGAACTACTAACCTGCCTTGCTCGAAGAGAACGGAATTTCAACTCAAACAAAAGTTCAAGGTAAAATTTTCTATTGCTAGTTATGCACAGACCACTCTTTCTAAGGTCAGGAATGCTCTATGAGAAACACTGAATGACTACAAAAAGGACGACTAATGCCAAACTGTTTGAGCTATAGACTGACCTGAGAAATTATGTGAAAGAGAGCAAGACACAATAGAAGACTTTGCAAAACACATAACTTACTTTTCTGTTTTGAAAAATATTGCACAACCATCAACATGTTTTCTTTCCTGTTCTGACATTGTCCTAGCTCTAGACTTTGGACTGAAGAATCCATTGTAGCCACGTTCTTTCAATTCTACCAGGAAAAAACTGTAGTACTGTTCCGTTTCAACCTCCTATAAAATTATAAGACAGCACAGCATGAGTGTACTATTAGCAAAATACAGAAGACTGATATTATTTAGATTCTTCAGAAGTGTAAATCACTTTCAAATTAGATTTACTTTAAAAAAAGTAAGAATTAAGTACATCAGAGAATGCAAATTTGAGCGCAATATCCCTATTTTAAGAAAATATAAATGAATTTTTGTAATCCCCAGAGTTATGATTATCTCAAGCCTTTTATTTGAAAATGTGTCAATTATAGCCCCACATACACAAGCAGGCACAAAGACACCCCCATGTACATTTCTTTGATCAGCAGCTGCTGGTTCACAATCCAACTGCGTGGGCTGAAAAGCATTCTTTTGATGTCAAGCAACAAATAATGTTCTAAACACCACTTCTTTTTTTTTTTGTTTTCAGAAGGTTTTGAAAACAGATCACTTACTGTAAATACCTTTAATATAGAGAAATTCCCAGCACACGGGAATAGAAAAGGAAAAGAAATAATAGTATATCTTTTACCTGAAGACTTATGATGTCAGCATTGCAGCTCAGGATTTCCTGCATAATGGCTTTTTTTCTGTATTCCCAGTTCAATGCCCAAGATGGACAATAGCCATACAGCTGCCGGGTAGCGTATTTATCACAGAGCACGTTGTAACACATGACAGAGAACAAGGCTGCAGAACGATAATTTTACTTACACACTGGTATGTTTCATGAAAAAAAAATATATATAATTATGTTCTTCACATTGGTCTTTTGCAAATTCATCAACTCACGCTTCATTTGCTTCAATCAAAACACAGCACGTGCATCTATACTAAGAAAAAGTTGTTAGTCCTTCTAGGGAGATAAATTAAAAGTTTGGACTTACGGCAGCTGTTTTCTAGCATTTAATTAGAAAACAAAACCAAAACCCCCTTTCTAGGGTTAATGCAGTAAATAGCAGACAAATGTATTTTATGCTAAGTGGTGCTCTACTGTGAAAAGCCTAAAACAAGGCATGTGTATTTGAACACTTACATATGCTAGCTATACAAAGGTTTGCAAACTCTTCTAATAGATTATTTAAAATCTACCTTAATTATTACCACCATGAACCGTAACAGATCCACAGGCAGCGTAAGGATCCCTTCTCACTATGAAAAAGTATAGGCAAAACAAAACCCCAGATGTTTCCACCTCAAAAAGCTTACAATTCAGGTGTAAAGACAAGAAACATCTACTCTCTGTATTCATTGGGAACAGGAGTGATAACAAGAGAGCGCTTGAGGCATCTTGACAGGTAATCCAGCAGCATGGATCTCAAGTTTGTTTTGTTGGGGTTTTGGGTTTGTTTTTAAAAAGCACTAAGGAATTTGCAGCACAATAACAAGACACTTGGAAGCGTGCTGGGAGCTCCTCTCAAAGGTGTAGTACAACTCAGGAAAAAGGAACAAGACAGCTGTTTGAAGAGCTAACAAACTGACACAACAATCTCGGGCTGATTGGGGGTCAAAGCCCAGCACTTTGAAAACAAACAGGTGACAGCAAAAGACAAGCTGCATTAACAACATGATCTCTGAAGCAATCGCCTTAATAAAATCAATAGGGGAAAGTAATGTACATCAGCCTTGAAAGAGAGGACACTGCAATAACTGAGAAACACACTAAGATTTTTTGGTGTGCAAGTAGATAGAAAATGCTCTATTTTAGACAATGCATACAGAAAAATTAGTAAACAACTACAAACATGACCTGAATCCCAACAGCAAGAAAAGTGGTGAGTCAAATATGATACACTGGTTACTTAAAAGCAAAAAAAATTCTACATTTTTTGGAAATTATGCTTGTGTTCTTCTGGATTTTTATTCTTCAACAAATGTTCAGTTAAGCCTGTTATAATTCGGCTATTTAACTAATTGTGAACAACACTTTCAATTCCTGTGAGGAGGCTGTTAATTAAAAAGAAATTGCTTTATAGTAAAAGATGGGTGTTCCAATTGAAATAGAACTACTTCAGCTGCCTGGTCAGCACTGCACAAATCATTGGTTAATTTAAGCATTAATTTTTTTTCAGCAGATAGTAAAGATCAACAGCTTTTATAAAAGGAAAAAAAAAAAAAAAAGTCCTTAAAGTGTTCCAGTACCTGTTGGTCTTGTACGGTCTGGCTCTTGCAACATAATCCAAGATCTTGGAGGTGGTTGTTCTGTCGAAACTATGGGAACATTTTAAAGTAGAGATACAACAAGTGATAATCACATTTATTTTACACAGCAGAAATGAATGTTTTAAGAATGATCACTTACTTCTTTTTGCAGTACCTGCCAAATTATCAAGCAAATAGTTCAGTAGCCTTCGTGTCCCATCTGGTTCCTGATAAAGGTTCAGAATATCCTGTGTAAGTGGATTTCCTGCAAACACATTTATAGAAACATTGAATAAAATAAACAGAACCATTATGAACTTACACATCAGCGTTTCAAGCTGGCATCTCTGAGAAAAGATACTGCCTCTACAACGAACTACTTAAAGGTTTTAAGTCTCAGGTCTTCAACCCCACAAAATACTATGTGTGAACAGCTCTAGTGAAAATAACCACATTCCCTCCTGCGTCTGTCTTCTGACAGACAAGGGCAGTCGGTGGATCTAACGGGAGTGAAGAACTGGCGTGGCACAACACACAGGCAGAGATGACGAGGCCAAACACAGCAGCCACCTCTGCTCGCTTTGCACGACGCGGGTGAAACATCCACCACCAGTTTCTTTGCCAGCCATATCTGACTAGAGTCTATCACCTGCCGAACGCATAAGCAGATTGCAAGAGTTTTCACAGACAACACCCACTGCAATTACCCAGTTTTAAGGGGGAGAAACACAGACTTTTGAGATGTAACAGCATGTAGAGGTATTGTATCACTCAGTGCTGCTGCTTTTCTGATATAAGTTTCCCTGAGGTGAGCAATTTTATAGCTAGAATCCACACAGTTCAGGGGAAAAGGGAAAAAAAAAAAAAAAAAAAAAAAAAAAGAGAAATATTTAAATTGCTGCTTGCATAAACAGCAGAGTACCCTACAGCAGTACAAAGCATGCTCCTTTTGGCTGGAGTTGAATACCTACAGGTAACTGCAGCCTACTTCTTAGTTAAAGCAGCACTCATGCAAGCAACAGAAAGCTTCCGCTCACTCTGTGGAAAGAGAAGCAAACCTCTTTGTACGTGGAGTGCTTCATCAAACTGGTGCTTTTTCTTTCTTTAAATAATCCCTAAATAACAATATTTATAAACGTGAAGTAAGTGCCCGTATCTGGGATCGCTATTCAGCCATGCTTTTGAACTAGCGGTCTACAGCCATTACATCTCAGAAGCAGTATCATTAAACAAGGACAGATACCAAGAAAAAGTAGCAATACCTTTCAGACCCAAAGTCTGTAACTGGAACAGTTTTCCCAGCTCAAAAGGTAAAACTCGTAACAGGTTGTTATTTAAATGTAGTTCCCTGTAGATAGAACAAGAATCATATAGGGCTGAAAACAGACCAACATTTGTCTTCAGCAGTGTAGTACAAGAAGTTTAACTACAAGAGAAACAATACAGTAGCAAACCACAGTACTGAAAAACTGAAAGACAAAACAGCAATAGTTAGGGAAATCCTGCTGTACTCAAACCCACACATAGACAAAATACACATTACATTGAAGTACAGAGGAAAGTAGCTGTTCGGAGAGTTCTTAAAAAGTCAGAAATTTTGTGAACCCTAGCAATAATCAAGTACTTCCATAACAACAAGTGATGAAGCAGTAACAGCTCTAACAAACCAGACCATGAAACAGTTTGGCTGTGATTAAAGGCCAAATAAAGGGAAATTATATCCCAGAAAAGAAATAAGCAAAAAATCCAGGATCATGGCAGTACGATTAGAGCTATGACATTACCCTGTAACAATAATTTACAACAGTCATTTTGTGTTGTTTTCATAATTTCAGTGTTAAGCAAAACGTGTGCTTTTTGTCTTACAAAATCAATATGCAGACAGGAACAGAATTCACGTCCTGAATTCTGAGATCTCAACGAACCAGGCAGAGAAAATGGACTTGTCAGGAGCTTTTCACTTTCTTAAACGCATTCCCATCTAAGCAGTGAAGACACTCCTCACCATACTCAATACAAAATTGCTGCTTCAGAGTGTTTACAACTTGGTGCCTAGAGACTTGAAGAGTATTTTGGAGCAGCAAAAAGGGGGGAAAAAATGAAAAAAAAGGAAAAAAAAAAAAGGAAACCTGGATGCCAGCTCTTTTAGAGTTCTACAAGACACCATTTGAAGCAAAGAGACACAACTCGTCTTCTAGCCCTGCATTTCAAAAGTAAACTGTGCCCAGCCCTTCCTGAACATGGACTTCCTAAGAAATCTGTTTCACTGCGCATTTAAAAACCTTAGTAAAAGTTAAGTGGCCTATTTTAGAAACACTCAGGTGTGTAATAGTGGAAGAAGATACAGGAGGGGACTTGCTTTTTATTTCACTGGGTTATCTAGAAATGCCAAGTCATTGCTCAACTGATTGCCAGACCATAACATACCTAGTCAATTGAGGCTTTTTCTTTTGTTTTTCCCAAGATAAAATCTCATGGACAAAAGCATTTATTTTAGAGAGAAACTCCGAAGCCCACTGTGTCATTCTAGGGCTTTCCCCAGCATGAATGAGGCACATGGCAGGTAGCAAAGAGGATGGGGGGGTGTTTTAAAAAAAGATAAAAATCAACATCTCCACTAGATCTCAGCACTTCCATACACATTTGAGATTTAAATTGCTGTTATTTTTAGGGATGATATTCTATATGACATTATAAAGCTGCTAGTTCATTCTTTAGGAAGCTACTTTTTCCTCTATGAGTTTTTCGAAGCACTGCAGAAGTCTAAATAACATTGGGTATGTATTACAAAAAAATACACTAAATTCCTCTAGAGGAAAAATACTGAGCTGGAAGAATGGCACAGCAGTAGGTATCATCACACTTTCTCTCTTGGATGAAAGATTTATTTTCTCTAATGATCCTTGCCTCTGTGGAACCCGCCCCCTCTATACAGCAAAGGGGATCACAGCAAATCCCTCTAGTTCTTTCAAGCATATCAAGAGAATCTGTTTTACAGCTGAGCTTTCCAAGATAAGATGTTACAGTGTGTATTTCTTCACCTCTTTCTACAAAGATCAGAAATCTTACTGCTCTCTCTGACACCTCTTTCTTCAAGCCCCTGCAGTAAAAAGGGAGATGCAAGAGCCTTAGGCAAGCTTTGCCGTATGGACCCAACCCAGAGCTCCAGATGTGGAAGACCTGCGCTATCAATTCTCAAGTGTGAAAGCACAAACGATTCCAGTGGCTCAGGATATTAGCAATGCCCAGTGCTGAACTACTGCTAGTTTGAACAACTTCCCAGAAGCTATGGGAAGTGTCTGCAACAAGAGCCAGCCTAGCCATCAAACTCTAGCACAGCTGAGACCTGCAGAGCGCTATCACGTAGGATGCGCTTATGGGCTTTCCTTCACTTTCACCCCAGTGAAAAGAAATCATGGATCAGCTGCAATTACTGAGGACAGAGAGAGCACAATGGATCACTGCACTAGTTTTTCACGTCTTAGAGTTCTGGATTCAAGTGTCATGTTTAGGTCATAAACAGAAAACTAGTGCGATCCTAGACCTTAGCTACACATTTCACACTCACAACATTTAGCCTTCTCTACTCAGAAGAGAACTAGGACTCG